TAGAAGGTTCCAGACTTAAAATCGAAAAACCCACTCAAGTGCTTCTTGCAGTCCTCCAGCGAATTGAACAGTTTTCCATTCGAAGAATTTTGCAGAAACCCAAACAAGTGGTATTCCGATGGCGCTATGTATGGACTATATGGGGGGTGTGGTAAGACATCCCACCCGAGCTTTAGCAACTTTTGTCGAGTGGCCAAAAACACGTGTGGTCTGGAGGTACCCTATTGGAAGATTACGCCCTACCAATTGGCCACTTCGGGTCGCTTTTGGTCTACCGCTACCTCCATATTTTCTAGCTAACTGTAGTACCTTTCCTAAGTCATCTTTTGATTGTGCGACAACAGCTCATGGTAAGTGTTTTCCCTGAAATCCCATCAGCAACTCGGCATAGTCATCCACACCTGGATTTTGACTTTGCAGCGATTGTGACGGCTCACTAGGGAAGCTCCACGATCGCTTCCTCTTCTCATTGCTGTACACAATCCAGTTTTCGTCCTTCGTGCTCATGCGTTCCAAAAACGGCTCATTTTTATTTCGTTTGAGCAACGAGTCGCACATGGAGGCGTGGCCCATCGCATTGCGCTCGCTCATTTCGCGAGATATCTAAACATCAAGGCGTTTTACAAAACCAAGTGTCTGCAGATGACCATGAATGGTTACTTCCGGAACACTAAGCCCTTGTCCTACTCCACGAGCGGTAATGTGCCGATTCGCTTCGGTTAACATTTTGGGTTTATCGTTTAAACTGATGATAGTCTCCCTGAGGGTTGCCGGTCTTCGAGGACAAATTCACACTGGTTGGATTTCGCAAATTAGTCATGCACTGTAAGTTCCTCTAGTGCATAGTCTACTCAAACGTCATATATCTCACATGCGGCTTGAGCTGCATTCCAGGCCTTGCTTTAGAAGAAATACTTCGGATGTCGAAAATGCGCGCAGTACTTCTCCATTTTCATACGAGTCCTGTACAGAAAAACTTCGACAAATCTTGGCAGTATCCTAACAGGAACATAGAGGGGAATCTACTCTTTCAGAAAACATGTAACTTTATTAGGTTGGGTCCTTGATCTTTTGTACAACGGTTGATAAATCCGGGGTGTCAAAAATCGGCGGAGACTTTTCGGACAACCCAATAGCTAGTATGAGAGGTGACAGCTTGATAACGGTTGATAGGCATATTGTTTTATGAAGTTGTTCCTCCTAATAACCTCGCACGGCACAATATTTTGAACACTGAGGACTGCTTCTTCAGTGAGTTTGGTTTTTGCTCCGTCCAAATCAGACTCAGAAGGAGCATCAGGTCCACAGGTTTTCTGACCATTTTACCTATGGCTAATATGAGTTTCAATTTGCGAGTCGCAGTATCGTCGTTTGCAGTTGTTCCTACTATGTGCGGGAAGTGCGTGTGGTGCATTCCGTGTGAGTATGGGATCTACGAGAAGCACCACTGTGTCTATGCTAGATTTGATGAATTTGAATGTTTTCTCGATGAACACTTACGATGCTTTTCTCTCAAATTAAATAGGTATTCCTCACGCCACACTTGCCAAACCGTTTAGGTTACCGCATTACAGCGCTATTGAAGCGCTTTTGCAGCCTGCTTTTGAATTTGCAGCGCACCTTGGATAATAGACGGCAGATTTTGTGGGTCAGAAAAGTCTATCGTTTCCAGGGCGCATGTTAGCGCAGGGTACAAGCAGCTTAGGTTGCTCTAAATCGGTCTCCTGATATATCACCGATCGAATGTTTAAGCCGCTATTTTCGATACCACTTTTATGAGGCCGTCTCGCGCAAAGTGAGCTTCTCTCAGAGACTTACAGTAAGCTCATTGATTACCTGAATGAATCTTTCTGATATCCCCTTGCTAAGTGGCGTAAAGGATCATATGTTTCCATTCATTTTTACTGTTTTTCATGAGTGGCAATGACTTTGCATACCTGACCGCGCTCTCTAAAATCTCTGCACTTAGAAGGAAAAAGGGATCATTATCACATGCTATGGTATTTGAATTGCTCCTAATAAGAATGGTAAATTCTTCTGTGCCCATATCGTTTACGACTTCTGAATAAATTTACCGAATGATTGCGGACGTAAAAATGCTTCCTTATACCTTCTCCGTCGAACTCTTCTTCTGAATCGAAAAATCCAATCCGATTTGCTTTAAGAATATGCTTTTTTGCACTCTTCGCTGAGGTAGATCCGGCATGGCTGTATAGGGAAATGATGGAGCCAAAATCGCATGCACCGGACACTTCCGCACCGATTTTCGTTCCTTCCAACGCAGATGTGTAATCCAGTATCTGATCTAATTATCGCCATAGTATGGGCCATGCAGCTTTGAAATAGTCCATGCGCACAATTCATTACATGGCGGTTTCCAGACCAGATGCAATGAGAACGGAGAATTTTGTTGTTTCCTCGATCGTGAATAGCCCCAGTCCTACCAGATAATTTCCCGTGCTCTCCAACCATCCATGGGTTTTTGGGAATTTTTGAATAACTTCAAGGTATAACCACGGATTTTGTATAATCTTCTGAAAAGGTAGTCTAATATAAATTGATGACACTAGTTCCCACTGAGTCGATCTCTGCCCCAGTTAATCGCGCCAGTTCTTCGCTCGCGATATCTAGGCAAGGGATATCGTTATGAATACATGTCCTCCTCGGATGTGGTAGACGCTCCACTAATTACATACGAGGCGTGATGCTCACGTCATGGTCCTCGAAGCTGTTATATACGACCCATGTCAACTCCGATAAAATGATTCGGGTTCGCTCTCTACCACCATCATGGGCACATTCGGGTCATTTATTGCTCAAAGGTCGTCAACCAAAAAGGTCTGGTATTCCCAGGTACTGTACATTTGCCGCAGAACCTCCAGTCCATTTCACCAAAAGTAATTTTACATCTGTTTTTTTTTTGGTCAATCCCCTTGTACCTGCATAGGCTGTGTTAAAGTAACTAGAGATACAGCGGGAGCTGACTTGTGGACCAATGTTTTTTATGGCTTAAATGATATGACGAAGTCCTTCTATGCGGTTGGTAACGAGAGGTCGTGAACGCTATGGTGGGGATCTTTTTTGATCTATCGTAGTACAGTCTGGGAATCGGCAAGGAATATCACATTGTCGACCCGTTTACCTTGTTCACCACGGCGTCAGACTGAGAAACTATATATGCGCAAGTCGTAACTACTGGCATCGGCAGAGGACCAATTGATTCGATGTAGATATGGCTATATACCGTGAAACAATTCTTGTATTTATATCAATCCACATTTGATAGATTTTGTCCCATTCGCCTTGCTGGCTTTCCGAATGCTCATCCTAGGAGTAACAATGTTGCCAAAAGTTTTCCTGGAACTGCCCAGGAAGTACCCTTAATGGAGCTAACCATCCCAACTACCCGTATAGCTGCATTTTGTTGGGTCACAGTTTGTTTAGTAATTTCTAGAATAGTTACCAAACTGCAGTGGGCATGAAGTATGTCTTCTTTGGCATGCCACAAGCTTCGTAAATCTTTCTGCAATCCGCTGCTGGCACATTTTTCCACTGGGGTGACAGTTTTCAAATAGCTTGTATCAGACAAAATTATCGCAGGTTCATTCCCATTTCTTTAAATACATTTTAACGTGACTCCGCTTCGGAGGCTGAATTTTGAGATGTTTGCTCTCTCAAAATTAGGGTGTCCACGTGTGAACTCTTCTGAATTTCTGAAGTAGTGCCGTGTTCTTAATAACAGTGCGTGCATGACACCTCATTGTCTTAGCTAGAAGAAAAGGGGAGACATTCGGACCAGAGAGGATCTCTAGAAAATCGCATACTCACCAAATTATCATACTTTGGTTGTTCTTTTATGTCGCGTGCCCACAAAAACTAAACCACATCTCTGTCTTTTTAACGTGAACGAATATGTGGAAAAGCCGTCCCTCACTGAGATTGTAACATAGGGCTTAAGACTGAAGAGTGAAAACATTCCATATAGGCTGAAGGTGAAGTGCGTTCAGTGCTCGATTGAGTGCAGGGCTGTCTATACAATGTGAAGCTGCATCATAAACGATGCAAAACTCACTTGTACTTGTTTTGTTCTGCGGGGTGATAACTATCTGAGGCTGTATTGACCACCTCGGGGACTTCCTCCCTAATCCTTTTGTGAGATTGTCTCTTAAATTGCGTTTAACTGAACGAGAACGGTAGGCTTGAGTTCTGACGAAGGATTTCAGTCTTCGATGGGCCAATTTATAATTGTGGGTAGGGGAAAAAGGTGATATATAATGGTATGCGCACAAAATAGCCATCTCTAAGCTTTTTAATGGTAGTGTTAGAAAATTCATGCACTTTCTCTGTCTCTAATGAACGTTCTGTTCTCATTGGTCCCGTGAATTCCTCGATTTCTACGGGTTTACTTCCCCAATACTGAGTGTTCCCGAATTCACAGTGGCTGTCGGTTCTGGAACAAATCTCGTAGTCGCTATTTACCAATATGCAAATTGCAGTGGTTTTAAATTTACTTCCATAATCCTTTTCCCAGTCAGTAAGTATCCACGGCGCCTGGGTATTGTACGCGAGCCTAAGGACAATGTATTCTCTCTACAGAGGAGTTTTCTTAAATTGCTGAACTGGTCACGACCTAGTATTGGAACATCGATGCCTCTCTGCTTTATAGACTTACTTGATCATAACTTGACCATTCTTCATCAGCTTCACTTGAAATTACCTTCTTCTCCGCGCCGAAATTACATTTGTTCCACAAGTGTCAGATCAATATGCTGATCATCGTCATCCCTGACTCGCGCAGTGGTTACCTTATATCTTTTTCGGCTGAGAGTCTCACTCCAAACGTGTATACTGAAAATCAATGATACATAAGATTAGAAGTTGTAGTCTTTTCGGATGAAGGGTCTTTTTGCTCCCTTATCGATTACCGACTGCCGTGACTGTCGTTAAGAAGTCCTACACGTGATTGTGCCGTCGTCTTCTCTGAACTAGTTTTGTTTCTGATGCATGGAGAGAGTGAAAATTAAGAAGTTGCAATTAAGCGGGAATATCCCGTAACCTAACCGTAACTGGCTTCTCGATCACTTCCGCGAGAGAGCTAGGAAAGCTAAGCCTACTTTTCGAGCTGATACTTCAACGTAGAAGCCGGCCGTAGGCAACGATTAACCAACGTGTGAACTTGCGCAGTTATATAGAGAACCAATAAAAAAATTTGGAAGACAGATGAGATGCTTTTCTGAGCGTAGTCGCCCAAACTGCGAAGGACGTGCCAATGTCTCAGGGTTCCGCCAATCACAAGACCAAAGTAAATTCCATTCGTCAACATGACTTTTTATCAATGCATTCAAAGGGCGAAGAAGGAGGCCGTTAAAGACTTCTCTCGTAACACTTCGACAGACCCTTCTTCTTGCCCTTGAAATACTCCGATTAACTGAACTCCTCTATATGATCGTTTCCACTAAAAGGTGAAGATGAAGGATAAAGTTCAATGCGTCAAGCAATCTCTTTTGGGATGCGCTCTCGTATTTGGCTCCCATTCAGAGTCCTGTGGCATATTGCACGCGTATTTGACCGATACAATGATTCGCTGTGACCATATCATGTGCGAGTCAGCGCTACCATGCTTTCAGATGAGGATTGTACCACCCATCAACCGACCCAGGAACAAAAGAAGATTCGGTTAGAATAGGGAGATAACAATCCAGTATTCGAACCACGAACATGCGGGACTGATAGTGCGCCACTTGACCCTACCACAACTCCACCCTGATTTCTTATACAAAGAGTCAATGCAGGCTATGTCACCACTCTATGGAGAGTATCCAAGCATTACTTTTGAAATAGCCAGAGTGGTGCTCAAGGACTACCCAAGATTTAGAAACTGTTCGAATGTTCAGAGATAGATTTCACAGGATTTCCTGCGTGATGTATTCACCCATTCATATTTCCAATTCAGAGCTTTGTCTTTGCGACAAGGCAGAATCGCAAAGGCAAAATCTCCAAGAGGTACTATAAATGAGGTAATTCAATGAATGTGCTCCAAGTTTTTTTTTGCCGTCTTTGTCTTTGCTACATGACAAAACCACAAAAGCAAACTCAAGAAAACAACCCCAGAAGGACCATGAAGGAGGTGAGTTATGAACGATGTTTTGTATTTCTATGCCGTTTCAGTTAAAGCCACAAAAGATCAGTCTAACAAATGGGGATAAAAGAAAATTACCCCTTTTTCTGATTTATACATAGAACATTGTCTCGGATCGCAAACAACTCGCGAATAAAAATCATTTCGTTGGATCTCTTGTAAGTGAAGCCTCGAATTCAAACTGGAAAACTGCTGTAGTATTCCTATAAGATATATAATAAACAAGGAAAACTGATTTTTTTTCCAATTTTCTACATTTCTTTGCAGGTTACGATCATGTCACTCCTACTACAGACCCTGGTCGGATTTTTACTGTATTTTTTGGTTTGATTGGTATTCCTCTCATGTTTATTACAGCAGCCGACATAGGAAAGTTCTTGTCAGAGATAGTAATTAGGTGAGTGACCCTGAATGTTATCCGTTTATCATTGTAATCCTTACTATATATAAACCGCAAACGTCCGTTTATTTGTATGTTTGTATGTCTGTTTGTCTGTAACACTATTTTATATGGTACCGTTTGGAAATCAACTGGAACAGCTCAGACAGGTTGAAACAAGTGGGGAATGAGCCGAACTTTTGGGTACACGAGACCCAAGCTAGCTCCGCCTGCCAGGGGCGGAGCGCCCTTCTGGGGACGGGGCTTCCGCAAAAATAATAAATTTAGACCTGGGGTATTCAAATTTGGCAGAGATGTAGAAGGCAACATGGGAAAGCTAATAGTAAGTGACAGACGCAAGCCCCGCCCACCGGGGCGGAGCTCCCTCAAAAATAGTAAAATTGGACCTTGGGCGTTCAAATATGGCAGAGATGTAGGAGGCAACATGGGAAAGCTAGTACTTTTTATACTGCAAAGTCGATCGAATGCTTGGCTCACACGAGGCCAACCTCCTTATTATCACATAGACGGAAAGCCAGGCTAGCGCTTAACTTTTCTTCTTTGATGTAATGAGGAAAGATTTATGAATAGGCAATCAATTGCAGTACAAATCGATCGTTTTCGACGGACTGGCCTATTGATCGACTTCTAGTAATGTTATTGTAACGGAACCAACATCACATCTACTCTGCTCACCTGAAACTTGAATTCTTTCCTTCGAACAGCTGCTAGGCCATGGACACCAGGTCAATTACATCAGAAAACGATATTAACCAGTATCGGCTAACTGATATTGATCATTACAAATGATTTCAGTTCCCATTATAAGCCCCTTCTGCCTCTGGATCCAAGAATTATACATTCTACAGGGAATGGGAGGCGGGAGGCATGAATATTGTGGCGAACAGTCGATAGGTGAGGTAGGTAGGTGGCTGGGTAGGTAGGTAGGTAGGTAGGTAGGTAGGTAGGTAGGTAGGTAGGTAGGTAGGTAGGTAGGTGAATGGGTAAGTAGGTACACGCACACACAGCCGCTCATAGGCACCTCATTGACATATAACACACTTTGTCGTGTCTAGCTCGTCGGATATTCGGTCCGTTCGGATGAGTAACGATGGCCTCAAACCACGTTTGCTAGGAACATTGAATTTCCCTTTGCACTCGAGTGTATCAAAAATTTCGGAACATCGTCTCATCTGAAACGCTCCATGAAGTGAAACCTACTATACACCCTTAATGCACTTTGTTCAGACTTCTAAGAGGTTGAGAGAGGTTTGTTCAAGCAAGAGGGACCGCCCGGTGTAGAAAACTTTTGTCTGCTCGGTGACCGACTAAACATTCTTTAACAATTGCTTGCCCCTTTCTCCCTTCTGTTTGTTTCCATTTTAAATTTTCACCCAGGTACACCTGAACAGAGCTCTAGAAGGTGTTACTGCTATTGATTGTGAATAACGGAACAGCTAGAAGCTCTTTCTGGTAATCATCGTCGTTGCTAGGTCTAGTCGCAACTCGATTCTTCCAGAGACGTTGTAACATTACTCCTGGATTCGTCCTGTCTTCTCGACAATCAAAATAATAAATAATAAAGAATAATATAAAAATAAAATACCATAATAGGAACGAGACCGTTGTAAAGCGAAGGTGATGTGAGTGCAAGTCGTCGACCTACACTCGCATGTTTTTCCATCCCATAGGTCGCCTTTCCAGCGCTGGAAAACTTGTGCACGATGATATCGCCCTGCCAAATTCCTCTTCATTCCGATTATGTCCTCAAATAAGATATATCCGTGTGAATGTCATCAAACCTTTATGTTCTGGATCGGAACCCTCTGGTTGCAAGAGCTTGCATCACTGCTTCTCAACGACATCAAAAGCTGCTCGAATCAATGAGCATAAGACATAACGGCGTGTGGTTCTCTTGCGAAACCTAACTGTAATGGACATATAGCAGATGATCGTAAAGCAGTGGGATCCCTTCCGTTCCCTGTTCGATCACGTGACTTCGTCCTTGGTACTATACTTTGTCTTTCCTGCTGAGAATGAATTGTATCAATGGCCTCTATGTAGATTACGAGCAGCAGGCGAATCAAGAAATAGCAATGGCAATGACATTCTTTATCGACATAGCAGAGTGTCTGATTTTGAAGGTCGAATTGATATGACGACATTTTAACCCTACATGAGATGTAAGGAAGGCTGGTAGACGTGACTATCAATCTGATCAGACTAAAACTCGTAGACGACATTTCTAATTACTTCGCGAGATGCAATAACTGTTCTCTCAGAAGGACTAAGGGGAATTATAAGACTTCAAGCTGAAGATGGTGCAATGTACACCTTCATGAAAGCCTTCACCACGCAACTCTCAAGCCCATCGCAATCAAGCGGGCCTCCTTAGCAGCGAATTGTCGTGGACGGCATTGATGGATCATAAACTTGAAGATCCCTTCCTTGAACCATTATTTGTCATTCCGTAAGCGATATCGGGGCGCAGGCAAGGAAAATTGATGAAGTAAGGGTTGAATCATATCCTCCAGTCGCAAACTTTATTTTAAACTGTAAGGCTTTTGTTGAAATTGATGTTTATGCCCGATTAGCAGGAAGCATACACCTCCGACGCCTTCATCGTCACATGTTCCATTCATTATTCCTCAATCTACAAAAACACAAGAACGGGCCATATCCCCTTGTCTCGGTTAAGTCGATGACACTACCTGTACTACGTACTTAATCTACACAGTCGATCACCACAACGGTTTTTCCTCGTTTGAGCAGCCTATTCATCCGTGAGCAGCTTGCTAAGAGCCGACGTGGTGGCTATGTGTGCCACTATGTGTGCTTTTGGTAAAGCCTTACTACCCATCGGGTAGTAAGGCTTTACCAAAAGAAACAAGGAGAAAGGCAACTCCGAATGTTTTGTCAGGTACTTCCTGTACTACTGTCAAGTACTTCCTGTACTACGAATGCAAGACTCCGGCTGAGCCATTATGCAGCACAGCATGTGCAAAAGCAAACACTCCACAAACACAGGCATGGACATGCTTGCGCCAAAATACAAGGCATAAATCGACTAAAACTGCAGTAATCACAAACATAGACCTGGATGCCCTGACGGTGACCATTATCGATTCAGACTCTATTCACGAAGAGGAATCTTGTACCCTTGCCACCATTCGGTAATTTCTCAGTTTGATAGGTTCCCCACTAGATGTAGTTTGTAAGTCTCGGTAATATTTTTATGAGGTCGAAAGGAAAGTTCTTGTCGTTTACACGCACGCTCCATAAAAATCAAATTTTGGCACTTGTCAAATCAGACCTATCGATGTGTTTTGCTCCTTAGGTGTGCCATAAGTTGCTCTTCCTGTCAGAGCACTTTTCACGAAATTCCGTGAGGTTTTAAAAATATTTACGAAGTTTTTTCCCCAGAAGGGGCTTCAGTTGTCCGTGCGACACAGGATTTAACACAGATGGATAACACTTCCGTGAGTTTGTTCTCGAAATTGTATCACAGACTTGAAACGAAGATTTGATATCGGCACTTCCGGCAGTATAAATCTCATCTCGAACAGCTATGCGACCTATTATTATTTCAGACCGAGAGCGTTCAAATTTGATGAGATACTGGCGGTAGTATGGGACGATTAACAGAAATTGGCAGGACTAGACTCTTTAAGGGGAGGAGGAACCTTCCCGAAATTTTGTCAGCTCGGAGTTTGAGCTTTCGAATTCGGAAGGAATGCAGGGAGAAGATGAAAACACTGTCGGTCGGTGGGCGAATTATCCAAAAGCGGAGCATGCGCTGAAGGGCGTGATATGAGCAAAACTTCGCTGCAAAGTTGGGACAGGTCAGAGATGAACCAAGGTTTTAGTTACACACGACTTGAGCAGAGCTCTGCTCAGGTCGTCTTGGGCACTCAGGAAGTGTGTCGGGGTGGTTGAAAAGTATAAGACGCCACATTTGTAAGGTATCATTCAAGATAAGGGACAGGCAGATAAATCTACTACCTTGAGGATTAGAGTAGAGCTGCATAGGACAGGTGACGTTCGGAGTTCAGCCTTTTCGCTCTTAAACAATCGTCTTGACGTTCGATAACTTAACAATAGTGCGCCGCAGGTAGTCTACGTCGATAACGTCTTACGCCTTTTAAAGCACTAAAGCTGGAGGGTCCAACGAGCGGTAGAAGCGTTCTACGATCTTGCCCTTCAAAAGCTCAAACACAAAGCTCGAGTCCATTAGATTGAGATCTTTTGAAAAGGGAAGAAAGACGCCCTCCCTCCCCTCTCCCCTCCCCCCATTATCGAGAGAAGCGGTTGCGGCTTTTGCAGTATTTTTAGGCTTGCAAAGGGAGCTTAATCTTGCTGAAGGGCAAACGATCGATTACCGAAGTGCTCACTGACCCAGATCAACAGGGTGTTAAAAGTACCTATTGATCAATCTTCGAGTCGATTTTCACACTTCTGTCGATGAAGGCTAATAATGTTCTTGGTTTGGATGTCACTCCAGCTCGAATAATCACAGTTCCGGCAGGTGGTTGGCTATGCACGAGGCGACGTTTTGAGGACACGTCGTCAGCTTTCGGCACTAGTTGCCTCGATTTTGATTGTTTGAGAGAATCTAATCCAGAAATATACGGTACGGACGACGTCCATCTAAGAAAAGGTTCTATGCAAATACACCCGTCCTACAACTAAGCATGGCGGAGAGAGTGTGTTGGTATACGGTGCCTTTTCCTCGAACGGAATGGGCCTTATTTCGAAAATTGACGGCACGATGAGAGGGGAGTATTGCAAGAACATGACGGCCGACATCGTGTTGCCGTGGGCACAGCATCGCATGTCAGCAGCACAGATCCTGCAGCAGGGTAACGATTCAAAACACTTCTCAATAGTTGTGAAGGCGGCCTTCAGCTAGCAGCGAACCATAAGAGATCTGGAGCGTCTTTCGAGCAAGCTTCGTGAAGAGAGCGACGAAAAATTTGCTCAGTAAGCGGAGGAGAAAACGTCATGCCAGTGTCTACCATTCAGAATCTAATCGACTCGATGTCTTCCCATTGCGATGCCATCATCAAAAGTCGCGGCTTTCTTACCAAATATCGATGTTTCTATGTTCTACATGTTGCTATTCCGAAATAAAGTGGTTTTACTAGGTCGACGCTAAATGTATTTCCCACCGAAATTGAGTTTAGTTTCTCTAGCGTATCTTGAACAATAGCAAATTGCAGACTAATAGCGGTAAGTATCCATGATGTGCTTTTGGTTAACATACTAAAATTCCATATGATTTTATGAAGTAGGAAAAAAGTTACAAGTGGAAAAGCGATTCACCGAAGACTTTTGGCCGCTAATGTACATTACATGTGCCCTAAATTTTATACACTACATGTGCCCTAAAATTCCATAGATAAGAGCGGGTAAACCTACCGGTGAAAAATGAATTGGAAAAAATCGAAATTGAATGCAGTCACCCACTAACTTGATGGATGGATAAATTAAACTTCGAAGAAAAAGTTAAGAAGAAGTTCCGCCCCTCAACTCTAAACCCCGCCCACTTAATGAACATTTCATATTGGAAAATGGCGATTTTAACGGATCGCTGTTTTTCTATATGAATTGTTTATTAAGTGGGTTTTAACGGATCGCTGTTTTTCTATATGAATTGTTTATTAAGTGGGCGAGTTTAGAGTTTAGGGGCGGGGCTTCTTCTTAACTTCTTCTTCGAAGTTTAGTTTATCCATCCATCAAGGTAGAGGGGTGACCGGTAGGTTCACCCGCTCTTATCTATGGAACTTTGGGGTACTTGGATCGCCGGGCCAACGCCGTTCTCCCCTACTTCCCATATTGAAGTTGATCCGCCGCTTGCACCTTTATGAATTTGAAAACTCTAGTCCAAGACAAGGAGTTATCTTTCCTTATTTTCTAGCGGATTACACAGACAGGCACTCTCCGTGCGCACCTCACTCGCCGTGAGCGAGGTCATATTCTAGTCCTGCGTTTTGACTTGATGTTTTATTAGCTGCTATTATTTTGCTGCAGTCCCGTGATACAAAGTCCCAAAAGGATGGCGAGTTATGGACAAACTTCGGCTTCAAAGGGGACTGGAACCCGTACTCGCACTATCCGTGGACCCTGCTCTTATCCCTTACACTCCTCTAAACGATGCACCGTAAGATAGTTCTCTCACGATCCAATACCAACGACCAATCGACTTATTTCCTCAGACCTGGGTAATAAGTCCACTCAATAGATCGATTAGTAATGTGTAGTAATTATAACATTGATCACAAATAGACAAGAAGTTAACCTGAGAAAAATAGAAGTGATGAGCCGATCCAAATAAGAAAAAAAGGAAGTGCGATCGAGTATGGCATTTGTACGGCTTTTATGCTATTCCCAGCTGTTGCAATTCGAATCTGGAGGGGATCGTCCCGTGTTATTTGTTTTTGCTTTGCTGGTCTGACTCATATCTGCGATACCTTTCAGAACTGTGCTCGCCTTGTTTCTGTCTATGAGCGAACTCAGTGTACGCACGTATGATATTGCGCAAGAACAACACGACTCCGCAAAACAGTAAAAGTTTTACTTGCTGAATTCATTATCTCTTCAGGGCACATGCATGGTGGTTCCACCTATCTACTGATCCTTTGTACTAGCGCAATGTAATTTCAGTTTAATGCGGCTACAGGGACGATAGGAAGGGTCTGAAGAGGATTTGCAAACTTGTAACACAGAAACCATTTGAGTATGGAGTGGAAACGCCTTGAAGACACATGAAGCGGAACAATTGACTATGTATTGTTGGCAACCTAGATCTTGTACAACTCATTTAAGGACCTACGCCAAACTGCTGCAATTCTGGCACTTCGTGTCCACTATTGTGGAACTGCTCCAGACAAATTTGTGTGACGGTGACGTCGACTCAATGGACTCGCTGTAGGTTTTTTATGAAGTTTTTTGGGCTAGAGACGAGATCAGATCGCCAGAATAGGTATTGATCCGAGTGGGTTTCAGTTCGAAATTCTGCGATTTATTTCTTCCAGTTGAGAAAGATAAATTCAGTCGCGTGAAGGGTTACCAAAACAGCCACTGATATGAGGGAATTTTCTGTTGTTGATGCTACTCCTGAGCGGGATGTATGGGAAAAGGTTGGCTTGCTCACGAAATCTGTGGATTCTCATCAGGCCACGGTATGAGTCGTCACCTATTTATGGCACTTAACATTTATGCCAACTAACACTATGTTCGAGCAAATTTTGATGGCGCATAGTGCTTTTGGGAAAGTCGTGAGAAAGCTTTTTTGGTAAGCGAACCACCTTTCTTTGGTCACATTCGCTTCATGAAATCTCATGCGGTGCGTCGAAGATTGCATAACGACTTCAGGCTCGAAGAAGCTGTTAGTTGAAGTGCCCTCATTCAGTAAAAAATGCATAATGGCCTAAGGCTCAAAGAAGTTGTCAGTTGAAGTTCCCTCATTCAGTACGCAAGGCCTAATCCTTAAACGCAGCCAATAAATATTCAAGTAGGCGGTATGACAAGTTTATGGCAGAAATCCTCGTGGCATTTTGCTGTGAATAGTGCGAGAAATGCAACAGTATTTTTCAATTTGATACTTATATATGGAAGCAGTGATCTATATATTGGACTACGGCATTTCATTTAACGGGCCACATACGTATTCAGAACACCAGTAAGATTTTGAGTGGAAGTCGGATGTGTTGATTAATTCCAGAAATGTGTTTCAACACTCTCAGTGAACCACCTTTTACCATTCAGGTAGAATGCAATACATTTTTCCAGATAAGCATGTCTTTAGACAAATCAGGAAAATTACTCCTCCTTTTCACAGTTTCCTTGTGCGATACTTTTCTCTCAGTACTCAGAAGAGTAAGACCTGGTATCCGGCTCAAATTATGGGTGAAGAATGAGTTTGTATCAATTCCTTATTCACATTTGAATGGAGATGTCGAAGAGGATGTCAAATGCTTCTTAACAAGCAAATCAACCACATCTTTCTCTCTCTGTTTTGACAAAAAAAAAATAAAGAGAAGTAGCATAGGAATTACTTGAGAGTAATTCATTCTAACAACCTTTAGGACAAGTCGGAGCCTAACAGCAAATACAATGCAGTTTGACTATCCAAGTTACCTCCCTGAAACACCCTTCTTGTATGTGACCATTAAAAATGGCACATATAACAGCGCCTTTTTGAAGACCGGGATTATATAAATAGTATACATAATAATATACTGCACGGAATAATATAGTCGGAAAGGATATTGTATTTTCAAACTGCATACTACAACGTTGTTGACATCTTCGCTTGGAGTTGGGTGCACTTGTTTCTCCGGAATTCAAGAGGGGAAATCCTATTCGGGAATCGTTCAATCAGGCATCTCGTTAGCACTTTGGAATAGTTAGAACAATCTGTCCCATTATACAATCACATCCTCTTTGATTTTGGGGGACCAGCTCGCAGACAGAACTATAGAGAGTGTGCTTGTACCGGTCCAGAAACTGACCGGAAAACCAAAACTATGTAAGAAGTGGGCTACCGCGTTGTTGCCATTCGCTCTCATCCGGTTCACTTTAGAAGCTCTAGATCGGAATCAGTACTCATTGAGCGTTTTATGCGCGAATCAGACAGCTCGAAGTAATGCAAAAGGTGTTGTAAGAGCAAGTACGTGTCGTTAAGGCTGCGACGTTAGTGGCCTACAGTGAAGGAAATCTCAAAGGTAGTTGCCCGCAGTGCTAACAACACTTCTTCTTTGGATGTGTATAAAGAATTCTGAAATCAGGTCTGCTTGGAGCAGCAACCATCAAACACATTCACCGGCTCTCTCCTATTTCAACCTTGCACTGTGCCTTGTGCTGATCGTTACCTGACAATGATAGGATCAGAAGGTTTCCCATCGCAATCCTGAACCTAATCCCCACAGTGAAAAGAACGCCCTAAATAATTTCACAATGCTATAATGACCCCTAGTAGTATTGAACCTTTGTTCAGCATTGTAATGGAAATGACTCTTCTTTTTCATTGCGGGAATTACGTAGTTACGTTCACAATTGTTATAAGAAGCTCAGAAATTAGGTTACTCGTGTATAATTGCTGTAGAAAGCTCAGCTCGTTTAGTCGAAGCAATCGATGTTTGGGCCTTATGATTTGCCCCAGAAGTGTTGTTGCAAGAGTGGCGTTACCAGAAATTCGGCGAAATATCAGGTTGGCAAGATGCGACAAAAAATTTGGAGCGTTGAAAATCTGTATCAACTGCGTGAACACGGTAGCAAGGGCGATAAACTTGTAGGACATTCCTCAGGCAATCAACACATAGGTAAATAAGGGCACGCGTGTGGGCTTTCGCAGCATTACGGTCAATGTATGGACAACACCCAATCCGTATCATCTCCTTCTACTAAGCACGCCAAGGAGAAAACGCGCGAAATATCAGCAATCTATTCGGTGCTAGCACTGCTCACCGATCATCGGTCAACAATCGGATGGATCGCTCTACTGCAGGAGATACTAGCCTTCGGAGTAACGCAAGCATCGTCCCTGAATTCAATGAAGGAATTCATCCGCTATGAGTTGCTAAACGCAGACACAGCTATCGCTTACCCCAATAATCCCCTTCATTTGGCCAGTGGGCTTAGAGAAGGATGATCAAAAGCGTAAGTCAGGTCCCTACAGAGGAACAACGCACGTCGAAAATTAGCTTTAGCCACACGCCAAAAGTTCACCGATCCCGCTTATTTCTAGGTTGTTCATCAGTCGCACTCCCGGAGTGTTGCCACTTTTAAGATCCCGTTGTGGGAAAGAAATCCGTAACTTAATGTGATCTGGAAATGGCAGTCAATTACTTCTTTGAGTCGCAGCTCCCTCACTCCTGGACAGATGTCATCAGTGATTGGCTCGAAGGATAAAATAAGGTTGATGACCTCTTTGGTTGATATTCGTCCGAAAGCTGAGAATGATATGAAGAAAATTATAAATAGTTCAAAAAAGTTCTCCTATTCGTCGCAGGACTTATTTGCCAACCTAATGTATACAGTTGAAGCCACAATACCTCTCCATGTGCTATTGAAAGAAGAGAAGATGTGTTCGAGCAGTCTACTATTAGGTTGGTGCAAAATAAATGCAGGTTTTTCTACCTTAAATCTAAATTACTATAACTTAGCTCTAACAACATTTATTTAATCAAAGTAATCACCATTACAATTAACGCACTTCTACCAACGAGAAACGAGCTTCTTAATACCAATATCATAGAAGTTTGGGGTTCTGGAAGCAATGAGCTCAATGAAGGCAGTTTCTGCATCATCTTGGTTTCTGAAGCGTTTTTCCCGCAAGAAGTTGTCAAGGTGCTTGAAAAGGTGAAAGTCAGTAGGTGAAAGGTCTGGCGAGTATGGTGAAGGATCCAGAATTTCGTAGTTCAACGTATGCAGCTTTTGCCGTGTGATCAATGAGACGTGAGGTCTAGGTCTATTCATGCGGAACCCATTTGTCAAGCTTCTTAGTCTTCCTAATTTGCTTCAAATGGCGAACAATCGTAGTGTGATGGACACTGAGTTCCTTCGCAATGTCTCGTGTTGTTTTGTGCGGATCAGCTTCGACGGACGCCTTCAATTGATCGTTATCAAGTGTTGGTAGACGGCTGCCATGTGGTTCGTCTTCGAGGCTGGTGTTGCCGGCACGGAACTTTTGGAACCAACGTTGTACTGTGCATTCGTTAACAATTTCCTGGCCCCATAATTCGTTGATATTTCGAGCGGTTTGAGCGGCAGTCCGACCCAGTTTGAATTCATAGAAGTAAATTTGGCGAAAATTGCGATTAGACATCTGAAAATAAAAACCATATTTTTTCAAAATTAAGCGATTTGAATGAAATTTTACGTACAGTGTGTCCCAAAATTATTTGCGCCGATTTAAAGCAATATATTTGAAACTTCTCAACTGCAAAAGACGATGGAATTTCTATGCACGCTAGCTAACACTATGTGCTACAATATGCTACAGTCGCATTTCAAAATACCCCTCATAGAGCGGATGGAAGACAAAGTTCGCTCTCGACTTGATCGCACGTGGCACGCAGGTATCCTTCTCCATTTCTTCCCAGCCGTCCTCCAGCTTTTGCATTCTAGGACTCCAAACTGGGACTGTGAACTCGACAAGTCCTCTTCTAATCAGGGACCATTCGTGGGATTCAAGTGAATCAAGTTCTGGAAAATGGGATGGCCATTCCTCTTCATCAATGAAGTCGGGCAGCTGTCGTCGCCACCACTCGCGGGCAAGCTTGGCTCTGTGGGCTGGAGAAGTGTCCCGCTGGAAGGACTACGAGATGTTTCAGAAAACGTAGTCGGATCAATGTTTTATTTACTTCCATTAGTCCGCCGTTTGAGTACTGGTCTTGGTCAATTTTCACGCCTGCACCGAAGAAACCACGAGCGGCTTACCCTTGCCAGTGATTTCCTCGAAAAACATCATTTTACTGTTCTGATAACAACCTTTTTGTGAGATATTACACGCTGGATGTTTCTTTCCGGAACGCGAACGTTTTGGTTGTTGAGGGATGGTTTTATCGTAACAAATTCTTT